TAGTTTTAGGAATTTTAGAGTTAAGTTCTTATCAGACTTCTGTTCTCTTAAATTATTACTATGAGGAGCTATTAATTATTTAAATATTTTTCCTATAACTATATATTTTAATTCAATAGAACACTAGTAAACATAGTTGTTTTTAGATGACTTTTAGATTTAAAATAATGTGGATATTCAAAGGAATTAGAATCTAACTCGATGGGCCTTGCTGCAGTAGCACAGGTAGTAGAATACTGCTGTGTGATTCCAGAGCCACGTGTAAGCCCCGGGTTTGGATCCCAGGTCAGTGTAAACATGTTGGCGTACACACACATGTGCCTGGAAGATTAGAAGGTTGTGAGGTGGGTTTTGGTGTGGTGAGACTCTGTCTGTTGAAGGTGTCTTTTCTGTGTCTCTCTCTCTGTCATGAAATAAACAAACTTTTTTTTTTTTTTTTTTTTTTTTTTACAAAAGAGAGAATATAGCTCATATATGTTGCTTACTTTTGAAATTTCTATTCACTATCGAGTTCTTGCCATTAGCTTGATAGTGCCCTAAGTGCCTTATGTTTTGTAGTGTGTAACAGTAATACTAAGAGATAATAGGTATTATAAACCTTATGCTAAACAGTAAGGAAGTCAGGAAACTTATAATATTTTGCTTTATGCCACATGGTAAGTATAAGTAAAGGTACAGAGGCAGTGATGAGCTTGGTGTGGTTGGAATGTGAAATTGGAGGGCAGGGCAGATGATATGGAAAATGGGAGTAGGAAAGTACCATTTTTTAGACTTTTTTTAGTAAAAGGGGTTTGGTCTATGACTGTAATTTTTTAATTGGAGTTCTGTGTATCTGTATTTTTCTTAAAAGAATGTGCAAAACGGGGGCTAGCAGGTGGCATGGTGGTTAGGGGTGCAGGACTCCCACATGGCTGACCGCGATTTGAGTCTTGGATCTGGTGGCTTACTTTCTCACTTTCCCTCTCCCTCTTTCTCTCTCTCTCTCACTCTCACTCTGTCCCTTTCTGGTCAAATTAAAATAGATAAATAAGTGGATACATAAAGTTAAATAAAAATAATTAAAAGAAAAAAAAGGAACGTGCAAAATGTTATCATGCTTCTCCAGCTAGGAAAGAAATAGGGTTAAGAGGGTGTGGGGAAGGTCCAACAGGTGGTGTGGTGGTTAAGGGCATTGGACTCCCTCATGGCTGACTGCACTTTGAGTCCTGAATCTGGCGGTTTTCTCTCTCTCTCTTACCCCCCTCCCTCTCTGGTCAAATTAAAATAAATAAAGCTATATCAAATAATTCTTAAAAAAAGAAAATCAGGGCCTGGGGAATATCGTTAACTTCTCAAAAACAAAAGTAAAGAACCAGTGAGTTACACTTAGAGTTGTATTGACTCATTATATTATTTCTGTTCATTGGTATTAAATCTTATTACATCTGGACATGTAAGAAGGGTTATGAACCAGTAGAAGAATTCTTTTTTTTTTTTTTTTAAAGAGAGTTGCTATGGGGTGCACAGGTTTAAACTGGACAAATATACTTCTATTTGGAATTTTTTTTTAATTGCTAGATAGAGACAGAGAGACTGAGACAGAGAGGGAGAACCTCTCCATTCCCCATCCCCCAGACACCACCCAGTAGGGTATGGTCACAACATAATGTCATTTCCATTTTTCCATCTTGATGGGATTTTGGCCATTTGCACACATGCCTAGAATGTTTCTTAACCACGCAGGGCCAGAATTGAAACTGCAGTTGACCATATGGGATCCATTAACTCCCTTAACCACTAGGCTATGGATATGGCGACAGCCCTGGAATTCTTTTTTTTTTTCCTTTGACCTAACACTAAATTTATCACATTTTAAGAACAAAAGATTTTTGGTGCCAGCAGGTGGCATGACGGGGTGATGGACTCCCACATGGCTGACCACAGTTCAAGTCCTGGACCTGGTGGCTTGCTTTCCCACTTTCCCTCTCTCTCTTTGTCTCTCTCTGTTTCATAGCGACAGCCCTGGAATTCTTTTTTTTTTTCCTTTGACCTAACACTAAATTTATCACATTTTAAGAACAAAAGATTTTTGGTGCCAGCAGGTGGCATGACGGGGTGATGGACTCCCACATGGCTGACCACAGTTCAAGTCCTGGACCTGGTGGCTTGCTTTCCCACTTTCCCTCTCTCTCTTTGTCTCTCTCTGGTTCATATCTGTATCAAATTAAAAAATAATAATGATAAATAAAATTAAATAAATAAAAGCCCTCCCAAAGCCAAAAGATTTTCCCCAAAAGTGAAGAAATAAGAAATCTAGTGTTCTCCATTCTTTTTTTTTTTGACAGTTTTTTATTTTTATTTTATTTTATTTATTTATTTTTTGCTATAAGTCATGTGTGCGATTGCCAGAAAGATAGAGAAAGGGAACCAGCAGTTAGCGTAATAGCTATGTCACTCGACTCCCATGTAGTTGACCACAGTTCGCGTCCTGGACCCGGTGGCTTAAAACTCACGCCGGGCGTGTGTACATGCGTGCCCAAGATCCCGAGAGGAGAATGGAGGAGAAGGGATTGTGGCGTGACCATCCCTCCTGGGTGGTGATTTCTCGCTTTCTGTCTCTAATGTCTGTCTCTGTCTGTCTGGCGAGCGCACGCTCCCTATAGCAACGCGCCTGGCATGAATTTAAGCCACTGGGTCCGGGACTCAAACTGCAGTCGACTACATGGGAGTTCAGCGACGTAGCCATTACGCTAACTGCTGGTTCCATAGTGTTCATCCATTCCCAACTGCAGATTTGATTCCAAGATATCTCCTTCTTTCTTTTTTTTTTTTTTTTTTTTTACTCTTTTAAATTAGCTGGAGGAGGGGTCAGCAGATGGCATAGTGGTTAAGTCACTGGACCTCCTACATAGTTGACCGCAGTTTGAGTCCTGGACCTGGTGGCTTAAAACTCACACTGTGCATATGTGCATGCATGCCCAAGATCTCAAGAGGAGAATGGAGGATAATGGATTGTGATGTGAACATCCCCTCGGGAAGTGATTTCTTGCTTTCTTTCTCTCTGGCAAGTGCATACATCTTACAGCAAAAATCTCTCTTAAAAAAAGTTGCCAGAGAGTATACGAGCTCACCAGACAGAAGCAGACAGGGGGAGGGTAAAAGCATCCCCCATTGGGTTGTGGTCATGCTGCAATCCTTTCTTCATTTCTCCACCTTTGTTGGAATTTTGGGCACACATGCACTTGTACCTGGTGTGTTTTTTCAAGCCACTGGGGCAGGGACTTGAATTGTGCAGTTGGCTATGTGGGATCTAGCTCCCTGAATCACCAGACCATTGGGCTGGCTCCAGGATATATCTTTTCTCTGAACAAGTGGGCTCCCTGGGGATCCCATGATGGTGTATGGGTGAAGGTTCCTCTGTTCTGGCTTTCTCACTGCCCCTTTCCTGAGTTTTAGGGATGGAATTTGTATCTTTTTGGTGTCCCATAGGTGGCCAGCCTTGACTCTGCTTCTGTTTCTGTGATCCCAGGTGGCCAGGACTCCTGGGTCCCTTACTCTTGGCAGCTCTCTCTCTCTGAGATCTTTTCCCCTACTGCTATTGTTCCAGGTGATACTCAACAATAATCATCTGGAGCTCTTTCACTGTGGGTGTGATACTTGTCATTTGTTTCTGTTGTCATGGAGACATTACCAAAGTGGACTTGAGAAGTGGGGTGGGGAATAAGATCTTCAACTATTTCTGGAGATGACTGGTACCTGGTCAGCATGAAGGTGGCAGGGATTGGTTATTGCCTCCAAATAATTACTCTGTTTCCCTGGGGTAAAGGTGTGGCTGCGCTTTGTGAACTGGGGTCTGCCATGCATGGGCTGTTGTCTTGCTCCTTGGCTAGGGTAGCAGCAGGGAAGTTGGTGGGACTCAGGGCCAGGACAGGCATGCTATGCTGTTTGTTTCACTCAGGCCCTGACCAGAGTAAGCTGAGTTAAGTTTTGGGGAGTCAGAAGTTATACATAGATTTTCAACTGGTTGGGATTAGACAACCCTAATCCCCATGTTGTTCAGGGATCAAGTGAATATACTATATAATGCCTTTTGATTTTTTAACTTAATAGTTTTTCCATATCAGCACGTAGAATTCTCTTCTTTTCGATATCATAATGAGTAGTTATGTGTTTTACCAACTGTCTATGAGTATATATTTGAATTTTTTACTATTATATACATTGCTTTAGTAAATATTCTTATACCAGTCTGTGCATTATATGTGGAAATGTATTTTAGGATAAATTACTAGATTGAAAAGATATGTTCATTAAGCGTTGTGTGTGTTGTTTTGTATATATGTCTTACTTTAGATAGGGTCTCATTGTGTCATGATCCTCCTGTCTCTGCATCCTAACTGAGACTACAGGCACATGCTACTGTGCCTGACATTTTAGGGTAAGCCAGGAATTGAACTGAGGCATCCCGCATGGTTCTAGACTGCCAAAGAATAGTATCTTATCATGAGCTACTGTGAATGGGCTAATTTTAAATTTCAGTAGTGCATAATTGATGTGTTTCTATTTGTGTATGAGAATATTTCCTTTCCTATACCTATGCTAATCCATCATTTATCAGGTTTTTTAGTTTATTTATTTTGTGTATGATAGAGTGTGTGTGTGTGAGAGAGAGAGAGAGAGAGGTGCACTTGATAGGATCTTGTCAACACTGTGATCCCCTTCTCCTAGCCCTCTAGCAATTAAGGATTTTAGGCATGTGTGCCTGTGCCTGGTGTGTTTTCAGGCCAACTGTACTGGGGATCTGAACCCATGTTAGCCATGTGGCTACCAGCACTGCAGTTCAGTATGCTACCACTTGTGCCACCAAGGCTGGGCCTGTTTAATGGTTTTTAACTGTGTGTGTTTATAACTTATTTCAGAAATTTTTAAGAATTATTTATATATTAACTATATTATTCCTTTTTAATTTTTAACATGGTTTTAGAATTAAAACAAAGGAATTATGTGGTTTTTGTTTCTAGGTCATTCAATATTAATAGGGTTGCAACTCAGGCTGTGGAAGATGTTTTAAATATTGGTAAGTACCAAAACAGCTGTTACGTTATATGATTATAATATTATATATATAGCATTATATTATATATTCACTATTATATGATATAAAATATTTCATCAAGATACTTTGTTTTTTTCTTTAATAGCAAAGCGACAAGGAAATTTGAGTCTTCCATTGAACAGAGAATTGGTAGAGAAAGGTCAGTGATAAACGATTAACCATTAACAGTTTTATTTAGTTCTGTATCAATTTTGAGAATGATAATGTGACATGTAGTTGTCTAATTAGCAAATTTGACTGAATCGGCCTTTTTTTTTAAGTTTATCGATGATTTCTTCCGTGATTAAGAGTGACAAACAGCTACCCCCAGTAGGGTCTTGATGCCATGATCCACTCTGCAGCCTCAGCCAGCCCCAGATCACAGGCATGCATGTACCTGTTGTACTTAGGGAGGTCTCATAACGTAAACCCAGGGCCTTCCTATGTGGGTCAGCTTCATAGAGGGTTGCATTTTACCACTGCACCTCCATCTTGCTTCTCAAACATCTTCTTAATATAATAAACCTTTAAATGTATTTAAACAGTTTAAAGTTTAAAGCTGGAATTTCATACTGTGATTTTTGTTAACCATGAATTAGAACCTCTATTTCAAAACAGTGTAACTACAGACATATTATGGGGATAGGAAAATAAAAAGAGTAATCTGTATTTTGCAAATAGGGAATGTATACCTAAATTTGGTGTGCTATTAATATCCACTAAATGAGATGGAATTCACTGAGCTGTGAATGCTAATTCTTAGATTCATTCAAGCGTTCTTTTAACTTTTTCCTACCTAGTTTTGTTCAGTTTAGGATTCATTGAAGGGAAATAGCATTGTTGGAGAAAGAACACTGATAAATTTGAAGACCTGGGTTCCAGTTCTAGGTCAGTTACTTACTGTGAAACTGTGGGCAAAATTATGATCCTTTGCTCCTCCTCTTCCTGCTGTGAAAAGAGGAAGTTGAAGTCCGTCATCTAGCAGTTGCTTAGGAGTTCTTCAAATGCATTCTTTAAATATGTTCTTAAACTGAAAATCACATTCATTTGGTTTATATATCAGGTTTTAATAACATAGTCTAGTCGGCTCATCTTGTGGGATCATTTTTGTACAGACCTGTAAGCTTTTCTTGCTATCCCTAGTGAATTGGAGAGTATTTTATTTATTTACTTATTTTTTGGCGAGGTTTTTGCTATAGGGCATGTGTGCTTGCCAGAAAGACAGAGACAGACAGAAAGCGAGAAATCACCCCCAAGGGGGGATGGCCACACCACAAATCCTTCTCCTCTATTCTCCTCTCGGGATCTTGGGCAGGCACGCACGCACATGCACCCAGCATGAGTTGAAGCCACCGGGTCCAGGACTTGAACCGTGATCAACTACATGTGAGTCCAGCGACAGCCATTATGCCAACTTGTAGTCCCAATTGAAGAGTATTTTACAATTTCAAGGAAAATTAAAAACAAACAAAACAAAAATACAGTTGTCTATAGTTGCATCTACCTGCCTATGTAAGAATTTTCTCAGTATATACAGTTATGCATTACTTAATGATGGTGATAAGTTCTCAAAAATGTGTCCGATACTTTTGTTGTTGTGCAAACATCACAGAATATATTTAAACAAACCCAGATGGTGTTGCTTGCTACACACCTAACCTATACAGCGTAGCCTGTTGTGAAGACCATCATATATGTGGCCCATTGCAGTACATGGCTGTAAAACCAAAATGAAAACAAATAATGGCAAAAAATAGATATGGACACATAGGAAACTTCAGCTGTCATCAGTAAACATGAGCACTTGAATTTGAGAGTTATCAGAACAGTTAGCAGTCTCCTTACTTGTTGCCATTAAACTGAGTTAGCAATACTTTTGAACATGATAAAATATTTTAACAGTGTCATTTTATTTTATATTGAATTTTCACATGAGACTTCTTTTGTTGGCGGAATAGTTTTGCCTCCAAAATAGTTTAAAAACAGAACTAAATCTATGATGTCAGGGCTATTCAGTAGGAAGGGGTAAAATGTGATATTCTATGGGCTGACTCACATAAGAAGCTGAGTGTGCATATAGAGACCTCCCTGAATATTCTGGGCACGTGTGTGCCTGTGATCTGGGTTATCTCAGGCTGAAGCTAGGGGTGGATTGCAGCAACAAGAAGTTATTGGGGGTGCTATCTATCTCTGTCTCTCTCAGTTCCAGAAGAAATAAACTTAGAAAAAGTTTATTTAACTTTTATAAACTCCGAAGCCCCTTTTCATTCTCTAGAATGGATTCTGTTGTCTCAGTTTAGGCCTAAAAGTTTATTTTAATCATGGTTTGTGAATTAGCTTTAAATCTTTATCAAAGAAAGGAAGATTGAGCACATGCAAGAAGACTTTATAAAGTTCATAGAAGGAGCCAGTGGGTGATATAGTAGTTAAGGCACTGTATTCCCACATGAATGACTACAGTTTGAGTCCCATACCCAGTGGTTTGAAAATTGTGCCAGGTGCATGTGTGTGCCCAAAATCCTAAAAGGGATTGTGACATGGCCATGCCCCTGGGGGGAATGATTTTTCACTTTTCCTGAGTCTCTCTCCTGTGAGTGCATGCACCCTATGGAAAAAAGGTAAAAAAAAAAAAAAAAAGTTCATGGAAGATAGAATTAAAGTTAGGAGTTTATTATAGTGCAAAAAATTTTGAAATCCATTAATAGTTTTTTTTTTTGTAATACACATTTTCTATGAACTTTCTGAAGACTCTCCTGTATAGTAATTAATTCTTAATTATATAATTTGACTTATATATAGAACAGCTGAACTTTATGTCAGGTGTGTGAAGTAAGGGTATAGGGCTAGCAAATGACCTGGAGGTTAAGGTACTGGATCCCACATGGCCGACTGACTGTATGATTCAATTCCTGGATCCAGCAATTTGAAAATCACACTGTATATATGTGCATCTGTGCCCAAACTCCCAAGAAGAGACTGGATGAGAAGGGGTTCTTACATGGCCATCCGCTAGGGTGTTTTCTCACTATTTTTCTCTCTCTCTGGTGAGTGCACACACCCTATAACAAAACTAAGAAAACAAATATTAATAAATTTTTTTTAAAAATTAGGGAATATACAAAATACAGTGATTGGATTTTCTCTTAATAAACATAGCTTTTCTGAATGTTAAATTTTTGAAGACTTGATTGTGTTCAGAAGAAATAGTGAATGCCAATTGTACAGTCACCGTTACAGACATTGCTGAAACTGTTCTCTTGAGATTTTCTTTAGAACTATCAATAGCATGTTTTTGTGTGGTGTTCCCACCGAGGCAAAATTCTATTTTTATGAGTAAATTATTTTACAGAGCCAAATAATTTAAAAAAAACTTTGTAGGGACCAGCAAATGGCATAATGGTTATGTTGCTGGACTCCCACGTAGTCAACCTCAGTTCAAGTTTTGGACCCAGCCTTAAACTCATGCTGGGCGTGTGTGCATGCGTGTCCAAAATCCCAAAAGGAGAATGGAGAAGGGATTATGGCATGGCCATCCCCCTGGGAGGGTCATTTCACCCTTTGTTTCTCTATTTGTCTGGCAAGCGCATGCACCCTATAGCAAAAATCTCTCTTACAAAAATAAAAAGCAAAAACTTTGTAAATAAGGTAGATCATCTGACAATAAATGTATTTTTTTTGTGTGTTTATCTAGACTTCCTTTCAAGCCTTATCTTTTATTATTTTTATTTTTATTTTTACTATTGGGCATGCACGCTCCCTAGAGAGATAGAGCGAGACAGTCAGAGAAAGAGAAAGTGAGAAATAGCCCCATGGGGGGGTGGCCATGCCGTAAATCCTTTCCTTTCCATTCTCCTCTTGGGATTTTGGGCACACACGTGCCCACATACACACGCGTACGTGCATACACACACACACACACACACACACACACACTTACCCACCCAGCATGAATTTTAGGTTTCCAGGTCTGAGTTTCAAACCATGGTCAGCCATATGGGCGTTCAGCACCTTAACCACTACACCACTTACTGGCCCCTTAAGCCTTATCTCTTTGTATACCTGTCTTTAACAAAATTTGCCTCATGTACTTCTTGATTACAGTGAAGGATGGTCCTAAATATTTCTAAAACCACATTGGGTAGGGGCAGTCAGTGTTGTGGTGGCGGAAACAGCTGAATCTCACATGGCAAGTATGGTTCGAGTCCTAGAGCCAGATTTATTTTTAAGTTGGGGATAGTGTCTGTCTTTGATTTTTGCACTTCTCATAAGCAACCATATATTCCATTGGGGTGGACTTTTTAATTGAATGTGCTGTTTTTTTTTTTTCCTTTATAGTAACAAATGAATATAATGAATCACTGCTCTATAGTCCAGAAGAACCAAAAATACTTTTCAGTATTCGAGAACCAATAGCAAACAGAGTTTTCTCAAGCAGTCGTCAGCGTTGTTTCTCTTCAAAGTAAGCATCCTAGGTCTGACTGGTATTGTTTTTATGGCTATCATCCATTGTGAAACACACTTGGGTTTACTAATACTCATTTCCACTAAATCACTTGTTCAGACTTAATCTAGCAGGAAAAGTAGAACCTGTGGAACTCATGAGGTATCCTGCTAACCTGGGTAAAATATTTTCTTTCAATCTTATGTTTTATAGGAACTGAAATTTAAGAGACTAGAAGAGGGTATAGTTACTTAATTGGGTGGTAGTTTTATTTTATCTTTAATCTATTCTGCTGTCTTAATCAAGTCTGATTCTATTCTGTTAAAGGTAAAGTTTTTTTTTTTTTAATAGCTATGCTTTACACTTTTTTTAAATTGTCATTTTGGTTAAGTAAATGACATATAATCATAATAACTTGATCCTATTTTGATCAAGTGTTGTAAGCTTTTCATATTTGACAGGCTTCTGAAGTAAAATTTCAGTTTTAATTTAAGTCTTTTGACCTGAGACTAATTTTTGGAAATTCTTAACAGGGCCCTTGGATGTCTAAGAAAGAGGGATTTGACTTTCTGACATATTGAAATTATATGGGAAACATTGTCAAAATGAAATGATGTTTAACTCTCTGTGTATAGAAATTTGTGTCAATGGGTATTCCAAAACTGTATGAGATTCTTAAGTATCTATTATGCATTAGTATTATTAATCATAGTTGTAATGCTAAATAGTTCTAATGTTGTTTGTCCCAGAAATGATGTCAGTTTTGGGTTATAGTAAATTCAACAGATCTCAAAAAAGACACTAAGATAATTAATTATTTTAACATAACTAATTACAAAGCATTTTTTCCCCATAAACTATGGAATAAAATGATACACATTTATATAAAACCTAAGTTGGTACCAGCAAGTAGTGTGGTGGTTAAGGCACTAGATCCCACATGGCTCCATAGTTGGAGTTCTGGACCAGGTGTCTTGAAAAACCCACCAAGTACATGTGCATGCATGTCCAAAAATCTCAAGAGGTGAATGGAGGAAAAGGAACTGCAATGTAGCCATCCCCCTGGGAGTGATTTCTCACTTTCTCTCTTTCTATGTCTCTCTCCTGTACATGCATTCACTCTATGGCAAAAATCTAAATTAAAAAAAAAATTTAGTTGTGTAGCAATAAACCTTTAAAGTAGGATTTATTTCTTTTCCCTTGAGGTTACCTCCTCCACACACATATTAAATTTGCTATAGTTTTTTTTTTTTAATTATTAGTACTAGGGGAAAGGATATATAAAAAGGAGTGTAATTTCTCATTTTTTAAAGTTTTCTCAATTTCTAAGGTAACAAGAAAAACCTGTAATTAGGAAATATCTATCTTATTGCATGTAAAGAAGTTTAATTACAAATTGCTCGTTACAGTGTTTCTTTTGTGAATATATAGTTGCTTTTTTCCCACGTAAGACACTGAAAAGATAACACTTTTTTTTTTGCACTTTGGATGTAGAATTATTTATTGCTTGTTTTAGTTACCATACATTAGTCAGAATTTCAACACTATTTACATTTTCCTAATTTGCTTCTTTTTTTATTATTTTAAACATTCAATCACTATATATATCACTTAGCTTATAAAGTGAATTAACCCAACACGAATATATTTCACGCCCGTCCAGTTGAGGATACTGTATACATTATCATGAATAGATAATTATCTATTTCTGTGACCCATAAATATCTCCCACCCTTCTCCCATGCTATCTCCAGTATCCATAACCATTTCCCATGTTTCTGTATCCCCTAAACCTTCAGTTTCCACTATAGAGTGTGGACAGTCAGTTTATATTAAGTGGAGACGTACAATGTCTCTGTTTGATAGCCTGTCTTGCTTCACTCAGCAGTAAATCCTCCACATTCATTCTCTTCCTATCAAATGCCAGGATCTTGTTTTTTTTTTTTATGACCGAGTAGTATTCCATAGAGTATACGTGCCATACTTTTTTAATCCATTCATTTGTTCGTAGACATTTGGGTTGGTTCCATGACTTAGAAATTGTGAATAATGCCACAGTAAACATAGATGTGCAAGCACTATTCCAACCGAGCATTCTCCTACATCTTAAAATTTACTTTGCACTGTTCAGCCTATGGCATCATGGTGAAGGCAGCTGGATCCCACATTGCTGACTGTGTGGTTTGAGTCCCAGACCTGGTGGCTTGAGAAGCATGATGGGCATGTATGTATGCATGAGGGTGCTTTCTCACTTTCCCTTTCTCTTTCTGTCTCACTAGCAAGCATGCACGCCCTCTGGGAAAATTAAAAACACACAACACAAACACACACACAATTTACTTTCTTCATTTGAGAGTTAGTTGTGATTAATCAACAATCTGTACTCAGCTTGAGTGAAACTACAGATTCCTTCAAAGATATATACCTTTTAAAACTTTGGCTAAGGGACCAGCAGTTAGCGTAATGGCTATGTCGCTGGACTCCCATGTAGTTGACCACAGTTCGTGTCCTGGACCCGGTGGCTTGAAACTCACACTGGGCGCATGTGTGCATGCCCAAGATATCCCGGGAGGAGAATGGAAGAGAAGGGATTGTGGCATGGCCATCCCCCCTGGGGGGTAATTTCTTGCTTTCTGTCTCTCTGTCTGTCTCTGTCTGGTGAGCACACGCGCCCTATAGCAAAAAACCTCTTCAAAAAAGAAAAGAAAAGAAAACTTTGGCTAATATAAATAGAAGAGCTTCCTAATGTTGGTTATTGAAAATGAATTATTTAAAAAGTATTTGAATAACAAAGATTGATAAATTGAACTACACTGGAATTAAGAACATCTAGTAATCAAAAGATACCAATATGTAAACACACCGCAAGCTACAGAGTGAGAAAGATAGTTGTAGGACCTATATCCAGTAGTGAACAGTATGTAAATCACCCTCCAGGGGAGATGACCATACTGCAGTCCTTTCTCTTCTGCTCTCTTGTTGGGATTTTGAGCATGTGCATGCACATAGGCAGAATATATAGTATATATAAAAATTTCTGCAAATCAATAAAAAGTCAAGCAACCCAATAGGAAAATGGCTAGAAGACTTAAGGCATTACATAAAATAGGATATTCAAAAGGCTGGTAAGCCTGAAAAAGGTGCTTGAGCTTATTAAATACAGTAACATTATACACCTATCAGAAAGGCTAAAATACCAGTTGTTGGTGAGGAGGAATAATTGAAATTTACATACACTATTCTTAGGAATATATATTGTGCAATGGCTTGGATGATCGTTTTGGCAATTACTTGCCAAATCTGAACATAGCAGACATGGTGGTCCCTGTAATTCTACTTCTACATATATGTCCAGCAGAAATGTATGTACCAACAGAAACATATGCACCAAAAAACTGTTCAAGAGTATTTATAGTAGGGCCAGTCCCATGTGGCTAACCAGGTTTGAGTCCTAGCCCCAGCAACTTGAAAAACACTTGAGGCATTATGTGCATGTGCCTAGGATCCTGGTTCTTGATGGGATAGAGAATTGGAGGAAAAGAATTTTGGAAGACCAGGCTGCATTGAGGCAGCAGTAGGGGAGGGATGCTTCCTCTCTTTCTCTCTGATATGCACACGGTGGTACTCGCTGGCATTGAAAAAAAAAAAAGAATATTTTAAAGAGATTTTTACTATAGGGTATGTGCACTTGCTGGAGAGACAGACAGACAGAAATGAGAAATCACCCTTCAGGGGAGATGGCCATGTTACAGTCTCTTCCGCTCTCTTGTTGGGATTTTGGACATGCGCGTGCACGCACACACACACACACACACACTCACACACACACACACAATATGAGTTTCAAGCTGCTGGATCTAGGATTTGAACTGCAGTTGGTCATGTGGAAGTCCAGCAACATAACCATTATGCCATCTGCTGTTCCCAAAAAAGGATATTTATAGCAGCAGTACTCTCAGTAGGTAAAAGTCCACATGTCCATGAATAGGAGCCATGTATAGATACCATGTATTGGTATCTTAATACAATGGAAGTTATTTTTATAGCAATGGAAAGAATACACTACTACTACATGGAATAAGGTGGATGAATTTCACAAACATACTACTGAGCGAAAGAAACCAGATACCAGAGTACATACTGTATTTTTCTATTTATATAAAGTTCAAGAACTGGGCTGTCAGAAAAGTCTCGACATATTTTTCTATGCAAAAATGGATTAGGACTTTTCTGATGACCCAGTATTACTGTGTTGGTAGAAATTAGGATAGTGTGTGGGCTTGGGAAGAAGGGAACAGGAGCAGGAACAGGGAGAGGAAAATGAGGGAGCTCCCAGGGTGCTGGGTAACATTTTATTCCTGATTTGGATGGTAGTTTACACTAGTGTGTTCACTGAGCTGTACACTATAATCTGTGCCTCTTCAATGTATGTGTTATATACTTACTAAAAATTTTACTTAAAATAGTTAACATTTAATATTTAAAATACTTATAATGGTAGTAACTCAAATTCAGTCATATGAAAACAGCTTATTAGTTCCATTAAGTCTATACTTATTTGCTGGTAAATGTTTGAGTGAATGGTTTTACCCTGAACACTTAGGTTTTCAGACTTTGATGAGGTACACATGTATTTACATAGAACAGCTTGTTTTTAAAATAAAGGCCACATAATCTACTAGTTTAAATAAAAATTTAGGGTCTTAAATAAACTTACTATTTCAAGTTAAGAAAACTTAATATTTAATATTTCTTTCTGTTCAGGGTTTGTGTTCGTTCTCGTTGTTGGGACGCCTGTATGGTTGTGGATGGAGGAACTTCTTTTGAGTTTAATGATGGAGCAATTGCTTCGATGATGATCAATAAAGAAGATGAGCTTCGAACTGTACTTCTAGAACAGTGAAGGATTCCCGCAGATGACAAATTTCAATTACTAAAAAAATAGTTTGTTCTGCAGAAACAGACCTCCAGGCATTCAGCTACACTTTTTGGTTACTGTTGAGACTGGCTGCCCTGGGTTCGAAGGCGACAGAGAGATTTGCATTATCCTTCTGTTGGATTCTGATAGAAAAGAGATGTAAAATAGATGGGCTGAACTGAGTAGAATTGATACCAGCGAAATTTTCATACTGCTCACAGTAACCAAGAATGCTGAGATCTTTTTAAGTTTAGAGAGGCAGGTTTAAATAAAGGATTAACTGTTTAGGATTTGGAATTTAACTGTACAAGTGTTTTTTCCTTCCCTTTCCTTCTAACTTTATGGAATTGGTCAGACCAAACACATTATTTGATTAATGCATATTTTTTATAGTATCTAAAAATCAAGATTTAAAAAAATTTTTGATGATGGAGACTTTTGATAAATCCTGACATTAACCTAATTGAAATAGGTAAATGTGTTTTTATATGTGCTAAGAATTTTCTAATTTCAAAACACAATGTTATTTGCCTCTTTATTAATTTAAAAGTTTCAAATAATCATTTTTGAAATTATTTATAGGTGAATGTTTTCATTTGACTTTTACTCTGGTTAATTTCAACAACTGGGTGAAATACATATATTGGTACAAAATCATGATACTGTTACAGATTTATTAGTTATCCTGTGGCTTGTACATCAGACATTTAAAAAAAGTGACTTGAGTCTAACAGAAGTCTTCCATCTTTAAAACTTTCTAACATGGGTTCATAGAATAAAAGGATACACTAATAAGATGTGTTCTGCTAGGAGTTTGGTAGAATCTTTAAAAAAATGTTTTCATCTACTGTTAGGAACATTGTCAGAAAGAATGAATTCTTCAGTAAATATGTAAAACAGTAGTTTTGCAGTTTTCACTTGGCTTCTATTCCAAGTTTTACATAATAGGTTTGTAGGATAATTTGCTATTGCTTTTTTTTTTTCACCATTATGAGAATTCCTTTATTTTTGGAGGAATTATTTTGATCTAATTCTGATCTGCTTATAATAAGTAATCCTAGAATTTTCACAAAAAGCTCCTACTGCTGCATAATGAAGTATTTGGTATTTTCATGCCATTTATTCAAAGTCATGTTTTTTGTTTTTTGTTTTTTTTTTCACTTGCCAGTGAAAATTTTTGTTCAGTAGCTGACAAATACTTACTGAACACCCACTCTGTGCCATGTATTACCATGTCAGGTGCTGGATATTTGTTGAATGAAACAGACTCTGTTCTTAAAGAATTTGAACCTGGTGAGATCAGAAGTAAATTCTGAAAGCTAGGACTTATAGTGAGATCGAGTGCTCTTGCCAACCCTTAACATGTTGCTTTTATATTATTTTTATAAACATTAGTGTATAAAAGTTATCTGCATTTTGTTGTATATCCAGAAGAAGAATCTGTTTTTCTTCTTTTCTTAGTTAAGAGTATCTGCATAGACACTTACAGCAAGGAATTTACGTAATGCCTTAGATAGACATGAAATAAAATTGTGTTTTCCCAGGCTGGATCTCTAGTTTGTGTTTTGTTTTTCCCTTAGATAACATACATAAGATACCACTTTATAAAGACGTCAAATTGTACACTATATAAATTCATCAGGCTTAAAATAATTTTGAAAAAAAAAATGCCCACTCTTATCCTTAATATCTCAAAGAAATCTGATTGTCCAAGTGCTTCCATAGTTCTATTAATATAAAACATATTAATAGATAACCTGCTGTGTAAAATTGTTAAGCCATATTTTAGGTGTTTTAAAAAAATACTTAATGTGTTTCATTTGCTACATAACTTCTAACATTTCTGCTCTGTGGTGGGAATTTATCTATATGAGGTGAGAGACAAAGGATGTTAGAGTAGCAAAACAAATTTTTATGAATGAATTAACTTTTAATGGCAATTGTATGTGAATAAAATCAAACCATTGTTATTTCTTCTTTTTTACTTCATTGCTTATGTCCTTCATCTTATAGGGTCATTATTTGAAAGCCAAAATTTCCCTAAATTTTGTTTCAAGTTTGTCCCCACTGTTCTATGTATTATTCTGTTCTCTATTGATTCCATTCACTGCTATTACTTTACACAGACTGAGTTTGTCATTTAAGCGAAAGAGAAAGTGCTTACCTCATAAGTGTAGGCTCTTCAGATCATTTTGCCTTACATTTTTGATGTTCCATATATATTTGTATTCATGACCCCAGTACATTAAATTATATTACATGGTTTCCTAAATGTATAACCTGCATGTCCAGAAATTTTACACTGACTTCATTTTTAAAATAAGCAGAAAAGAGCTAGTTAACACAAACTATTTATTGCAAAATATTCACTTAATTTGGAAAGGTTGTCAAATATAAATTTAAGGATATATTAAATTCAGCTGTGAAAATAATTAAATTTAGAACTTAAATCAGTAAAAAATTCATTCTGTGGGATTAGTATAATACATGCATCCTTATACTTAAGGACAGCATCTATTATCCACCATGATAATTTTGCAAAGATGATCCCAGGGACAATGTAATACCTAAATAATATAATGGAAAAAATATATAAGTGCTGTGTATGGAGAAAAAAGTAAATGTACTAATGAATCCCCCAAGGGGGATGGCCATGCCGCAGTCCTTTCTCCTCCATTCTCTTTGGATTTTGGGCACACACACACACATGCCTGAATGAGTTTTAAGCCTCTGGGTCTGGCACTAGAACCACGGTCGGCCGGCCATATGGGAATCCAGTGACATAATCATTGCGCCATCTGCTGGTCCCAAAATATAGTTTATATGAAAAATACTCATGAGGGTAAGGGCATAAGGCTGTGAGAAGACTTAATAAGTTTTCTACAGTAAGGAAGTTATGAAGACTTTTTAAAAGTCTTATCTGCTTAAAGATACATTTTTAAGAAATCACTGAGGATTTTAGATAAAAATAGAATATTTATTTGGATTGCTATACACAAAGTTTACTCACCAGGGAGAGAGAAAGGGAAAACAAATCATCCTCCATGGGGAATGGCCCATGCTGCAGTCCCTTCTCAATTCTCCTTTTGGGATTTTGGGCACACATGCTTGGCATGTTTTTTAAGCCACTGGGCCCAAGACTCAAACAGTGTAGTCAGCCATGTGGGATGCAGCTGCCTTAACCATCACACCACTGACTGGCTTCCAAAAAATATTGTAAATGTGAACTTGAATAACTTAATTTTAAAAAGCTTATGGAAAAATAGAATTGAAATATGAGTTTATTTTGGTGCAAATTTTTTTTGAAATCAGCTTTTTCATAATAATTTTTCATGAACTTTTTAAAGACCCTCTTACATAGTGATTTAAATGCTCAAGTGGCAATTTAGATATTTTGAGAAATATCAAAATACCAACATTTTAATATGTAGATTCACTGAAACGTAATTATTAAATCCATAAAGTTAGTCTAGGCTTTTAGGGTTTTAATGATAAGGGCTTTCTTTTTAGTTTAACCAGGAATACTTGCCTTACCTCATATGCTCGGTTCCTTTTCTTGTGCTGTTGTTCAACAAGTTTCCTCCACAATGCAGACAGTAAATGTTGAACTGCAATTGAGTTAGTCAAGATAGAAGGAACACAAGTACTTTATCCAGAAATAAAAAGTTTTGCACTTGGCTAGTGCCTATCATGTGTTTGGAACTTGTGAGTAGGTATAGGAGAGAGAGAAACCAAAGGCCCAAGAGTGGGTAAAGTGACAGCAGTGAAAATAAAAACAGACAAATGTTAACACCATAAAAAGAAGGCCAGATATGCTGGATGCCTCTCCATAGAATATACTACTTATCAAGTATCTCTTTGCTAATAAAAGAACTTGATAATATAAGCCCCTAGCACAGGGTTTCACAACAGACACTATTGACATTTTAGACCAGATCATTCTTTATTGTTGCGGCTTGTCCTGTGTTGTAGGATGGTTAGCAGCCCTCCTTTCCTTTACTGATTTAGATGCCAATAGCACCTTCCTACTTTGACAACCAAAAATGTCTTTAGATGTTATAAAATGTCTCTGGTGCAGCAGAAGAAAGAAGGCAAAACCCACCCTTGCATAGAGCTTTTTGCTGCTAGATCTACCAGCAAATGAAAATGACAGATAAGCCTGTTAAACATCATTGATGACATCCACCAGCAAAATCCAGAAGGTGGGGCATAGGACAAATGACGTAGTTTTTCAGTGTATCAATCACATGCAAGGATAAAGGGGAACACAAACATTAAGACAGTATGTCAATCAAATGCCATGTGTGGTCTGTGCTTGGGATCCTGATCAAAACAAATCATGTTGAGACCAGATGGTACAGCAGTAATGAAACTATGTTTGAGTGGGAAGGTCTACTTCCTGGGGACGCATCAGGCTTCATACACCATACGTACACAATAGGCGTGCACTCATTAGGATCCCTAGTGTACTATAGCATGAAAAACCCCTTGGGTGGGGGAGGGTACCTCTCATGAAAGAAAGGAAAAAAAATAAAGCTTAAAATTCCGTATAAGAAACCACTTGAGAGAACTAGGGAATTTTTAACACCATGCTGGTATTTAATGTTTCAGATTTATTCAGAACCCCTACCTTTTAGAAAAGGTACATACTGAAATATTCTATGAAGTTATAGGTCTCTGTTTTGTTTCAAAATAATCCCAGGGGGTGAGAGAGGGAAGATTTGAGATCTGAGGAGGCAATCATCAAGATCGTGGATAAAGTGAGATTAGCCAGGAGTTAATGATTGTTGAAACTGGGTAAGGGCCATCATGTTCTCTACTTTTGCATATACTTGACACTTTCCCATAATTAAAAACATAAGTCATATTAGTGATAATGTGAAAGATTCAACAAAACTGAGTAGACCCAGCCAGTGGCACAGTCTACAGCCTGCAGTACTGGAGATGGCATGGCTGACTATGGGCTTGACTGGCCTGAAAAAAACAGGGCACAATATGGGAACCCAAGATCCTCAAGAGTTGGAGAGCTGCTGGCGAAAGGGGGCTTGTGGTACAATGAGATTCAGTAAAGGGTGCTTCTTTTATGTCTTCAAACACCATCAACAATTTTTAAAAAAGACCCCAAACTGTGTGATAGTCAAGAATGACCATTCCATCATTTGAATGAGTTAAAAAAGGAATTGAATTCCTGGAAGACCTCTGGTAGAATGAACTATTCAGACAATTTCTGAATGACAGTAAAATATATATTTAGTATATGCTGATCAAGTTTGTATTTGAAAAGTATTTTTCTTTTTTGAGAGTTTTTCTATAGGGCATGTGGGCTTGTCAGAAAGAGACAGAAATCACCCCCCAGGAGGTATGGCCACACCACAATCCCTTCTCATCACCTCAGGATTTTGGGCAGGGCATGCACACACATGAATCTGGCATGATTTTTTTTTTTTTTTGGAGAGGTTTTCGCTATAGGGTGCGTGCGCTCACCAGACAGACAGAGACAGAGACAGAAAGTGAGAAATCACCCCCCAGAGGGGATGGTCACGCCACAATCCCTTCTCTTCCATTCTCCTCGCGGGATCTTGGGCACGCACGCACATGCACCCGGCGTGAGTTTTAAGCCACCGGGTCCAGGACGCGAACCGCGGTTGACTACGTGGGAGGCCAGTGACATAGCCATTACACTAACTGCTGGTTCCCAACCTGGCATGACTTTTAAGCCACCGGGTCTGGGAAGCAAACCATGGTCGACACATGGGAGTCCAGTGACATAACTATTATGCCATCTGCTGGTCCTTGTTATTAGTTAATTATTACTGACAGTACAGTTGGCCCTCCATATCCATGGATCCTTGCATCCATGGATTCAGCCGTTAGTTGAAAATATACTGATGCTGAAGATTGCATCTCTACTGAACATGCAGATTCTTTTACTTGTCATTATTCCCTAAATGTTTGTATAGCATTCATATTGTATTAGGTATTGTAAGTAATCGAGATATGATTTAAAGAATCCAAGAAGGTGGGTGTAAGTTATACACCAAGATTATGCCATTTTATATAAGGGACTTGAGCATCTGAATTTTGGCATATGTGAGGGGGATTGGAGAGACAGCTGTATTGACTATCACATTAATCACTTGAATTCAAATGTTTCATAACTATTTTTGGAACCACTTTAGAGATAATAAGGTTATATTAAGCATCCTTCAAACAGCATTAAGACTATCACTTAAAATTCAACAAGCATATGAAATAAGGTCAAAAGGACTACTTTGGGGTCTTTTTTTCCCCCAAAGGTTTTGGCCATAGGACACATGTACTTACTGGAGAGAAAAACTGAGAGGGAAAGTGAGAAATTACCCCTGGGAGGAGGGGGTGGGTGGCCATGCCACAATCTTTTCTCCATTATCCTTCTGGGATCTTAGGCATGCATGCACACGTGCCCAGTGTGATTTTTCAAGCCACTAGGTCTGGGACTTGAACCAGTCAGCCATATGGGAGGTCCAGCCATATAACCTCTACGCCACCTGCTGCCCTTAAGAGTGTTTTGAAGGTTCTTATGGCACAACACACTGAGTACTAATGTTTTTTTAACCTTTTTTTGTTTGTTTAAAAGATTTTTGCTATAGAGCATGTGCACTCACCAGAGAGACAGAGACAGAGAGTGCGAGAAATCACCCTCCGGGGGGATGTCCACAGAGCAATTCCTTCTCCTCTTCTCCTCTCAGGATCTAGGGTACACACACACTCCCAGTGTGAGTTTTAAGCCACTGGGTCTGGGACTTGAACTGTGGTCAACAATGTATGTGGGAGTCCAGCAACGTAATCGTTACACCATCTGCTGGTCCCAAGTGCTTTCTAATTTTAAGCAAAATATTTAAAGGAAAAAAAAGAAGAAAAGAATACAACTTAGCTGTAGTATTCATTGTATAAAAATGTTTTATTTTAAAACAGGTCTATAAAAGTAGAAATCACATACAAAAATACAGATTACTCTTGACATGTTGGTAAAACAGCTTATGGCTAGACTTGAGTCTGGAAGAACTATGTTTGAGGGCACCCATAAGTCAGAGTCCAACCAGATCCTATCACCAGCCCTTGTCACTAATCTGTAAACAGTAATTTCAAGTAGTATTTAGCACTTTTTAACTACTAATACATTGAAACATAATCATTTCCTGTATAACACTACTTTGAAATGTTTTTCCTTAGATCTGAGCAGATAAGGGCACTTTATGCTATTGTTGTTAGATTAAAAAATTTTCGATTAAAAGTTATTGTTTATAGAAATAATGGATTTTGGCTTTTTTGTATTTTGAATATTTAAGGAAGTCATGAATCTAAATAAACTAGCTTTTCGTGATTTTAAAAAGTAGAATGTAATCTTTTTGCTTTTGTATACCACATTTAAAAAAAAAATCACTGATGCTTATCAAAAGGTTCAACACCTGAGCTTTAACTCTCATGGAGGCACGAGTAGTACTTACTGCTCTGAGACTGCATGGAACACATTCCTGTTTCTAGTGTGTCTGGCAGTTCCTCTTAGGGAACTTTAGGTCTAACAACCCTACAAAATGGGTAGCTTCAAACAATTATTGTGAGACACCATTAAAAAAAAAAAAAGACAATTTAAGATACTTGATTCCAGAGTAATACAAATATAATCTCAAGAACCTCAGCTCTAATAGAAACTTCAGAATTCTTCCATCCAGCTCTTCAGACTGGGTTAATAGCACCTTTCTAAAACAAAGCAAGTCATTTTAAAAGCTAAGAGCCCATATTAACATAATTTAATTATGAAGTTAGAAAAACCACAATTATATTTCCTCACCTAATTTAGAATTCTACAAACATAATACCTTAACAAATATTAAAGGATACTTCAAATTAACCTGCCATAGAAAATTGCTTCTTGAGCCTTCAAATCCTAAACCAGTTCTATACCTTTGGTGGTTTTGTTTTTTATTTAGCTTTTCAGGTGAATTATATGTGACTATTTCTATTAGCCTAATTTCAAATCTAAAGGCAAACTGAAATGCATTTTTCCCCCCATTCCAGAAGAGATTGACTCATCAGAAGAGATTGACTCAACGGTGACTATCCTGATTCTTTCTGTTCAGCTCACAATACAAACAGCTTATTGTCCTTCCAAGCTATGTCTTGTAAAACAATACTGAAAAATTAAACATGAAAGTTTCAATTTGGCTATGAAAATTGTTGGAGTAATTTTTAAGCTTGATTCTAAAAAAGACTAAATAAGAAAGGCATTTGCAAGAGGTGGCTCAAATTTTCCTCTTTAAGATATCCTGAAGTTATAGGCTCACTCTCCTAAAGTTTCAAAAGGCCTATTGCTTAGGCTTTTAGGGGCATAGCAGTGATAGAAGCTTTTTACAGTCATTTCATAAAAAAAAGCAACTCTTCACCATTTTCCCTTTCAAATGGTCCTCTCATATGCTTGGAGAATGAAGGCAAAGGGAAAACCAAGAATAAATCTAGCTGAGTGCTTCAGCAGTTGGATTTTCTGCCTATTTTCCCTGTTCCCAAGAAAGAGAAGAGACGCTATTGTGTATTTAATACTTCATAGACAACTGGGTCTTTGCAGTGTCAGTCGGCATTTGATGCCCCATATCTCCTGGTTCTTTTTGTTGCCAACAGTTGGCCTGGCAATGGTGGTGAAGTGGGAGCAATTAATTTGCAGATGAGGAAGGGCTTCCTTTAACAGCTGAAGGGTACCATCAGGCACAATTCCAAAAACTTGTAGTGTTTTTAGTGTGGGAATTTCTCCGAGTTCACTGGAAAGGAAGAAAGAGACTTTCAGAGTAGCAGTGTCTATGGAAACTGTTTGACTACAGTTATATGACCCAATTTCTATAATTTGTATCGTAGTCTATAAAATGTGAACTGAAAACATAATTCACAATAATTGATGTGAATAAATGGCAAAGAAAAGCACAGGCCATACAGCTTGAGGAACATGGCCTTAAACACACGAGTCTATAATGTATTTTGTTGGATAACAATCTCAGAAACTCTGAAGTAAAGATTCAACCAGATTCATTTCCTTTCTCCATTCTTGCTTTATACAGCAATTTGAAAGGTGTCACTGTGTTGTGAGAACAAACTAGCAAGCTAGGGATGGTAAACGTTAATGTTTTACTGGGACATCCGTTGTAAATACCACAGGTTGTAATTAAAGGATGTAGACTTAACCTTTATTTGAAGTAGGTTTCATCTCTCAAAAGGAAATGGCAACAGAGTTGATAACTTCTTAATAATGGTTCACAGTCAACAAGTCCACTAGGTGCAATTAAATCTACCAATGACTTTTCTAAGAAAAGACAGGATTTGTAGTGGGGTGCAGATGGCAACAAAGCACGACCCATCTTACCTATCTACATATTACCATTCTTTTTCTGTCACAGATAAGCAGTCTTCCTATATTTCACATTAGGTAAAAATATGTTGTGATTTTTCTGATAACCCCAATACAACTCTGTCAACAGTGAGATTTTGGTTCACTAAAAACAAACCATTTCCACGAAGTAAATACTTTCTGGTTTTGGTAATGATTCTTTCTTCTTAACCCAGATCTAGATGCCTCGAAATTCATCTCTCTGATCTGTATTTGCTCCAGGTCGGGACACAGTACAAAGTCTCAGAAAGGGAACGTTTAGTTTGGAAATTTCAACAAAATCTCACTGCAGATCAATGAACACATCAATGACCTAGAGTTAGAAGGCTCCTTTAATTTTCACATTGTCAATAATTACTTAAAAAAACAAAACAAAACACAAGACCAACTTTCCTAATAATAACTGCCACATGGCTTCCAGTCTTTCTTCCTTCCAGCCTGTTCTATATGCCAAGGTCCAAGGTAGCCTCCTAAAGCCTAGCTCAGGTGAGGTCATTCACCTCCTCCAAATCCTTTGATGCTTCCCTCCTGTGTTTACAGACTGGCTGGGCTTAAATCTTTACAAACGTAACTTGTTCTTCCAGTCCTCCCACTACCCCTCTAAATGTATTTTTTTATACTCCAAAAAGTGTGTTAAAACACCACAGATATTTCTGAATACAAGATGAAGAATAATTTAAAAAATAAAATATTCAAATAAAATGAAAAACCTTGTTCATCAAGGGGCAATAAGAGCTGAAGTCGTAACAGATCAAAAGAAATCAGGAAGAGTACATTGCTGTTGTTCTTCAAGGAAATTAATTTCGGGAGTGTAGACATGAGCATAAAAAAAGGGTCACAATTCATAGATGTTTATACTTATTGTCGCTTATGATGATAGAGATTCCACTCCAACTTTGAATTCTTCTTATGTAAAATCTGAACACATGAGAACTTCCTAATAACTGAGATTCTGGTTCAGAAGTATTCAAATTAACCAAATTGTGAGTCATTCTGCATACTACTTCAAAGAAATACTGTATGTAGGTGGGAGTAAGGAAAGGGGAATGGCAGATGGCAGAGAAGGAAGTGTTCCTGCAACTGTGTTGGGAAAGACACTCACTGAGTAAGGAAATAACACTAGCCTCCTAGAACATACTCAAGTATTACATGTGATAAGGGAGTTGTATAAATGAGACGATAGGCGGAAAACTGGCTCCCAAGTCAAAAAGGAAAAAAACAAAAGTCTTTAAAATTTTGAGGGGAAAAGAAAAACAGTTGCCTTTGTTACATGCACCATCTACAATACATGAACAAATACGCAAGCATCTCTTTAAAACAATAATGGAAGAAAGTGAAAAGCAAACTTAAGGGGTAGTAAGCAGAACTGAGAAGTTTAAGAGCCATTATTGCTAACAAATGTAAAATGATATCAATAATGTCTTAAATATCTTTCACTTTAGTAAATAAATGCTACTTACAAAAGAGGGTTACTGCTTACATCATCTACATAATCCTGTTTTCCTCAAATCTTAAATCCCCTAACTACAAATTCTCCCACCATAGGACTTTTCAGTTTCTCCTAATCTCAGATCAGTTTACTATCTCCTGATTGGGCTTCTCACTTGACTGTGAAATAGGGAATAATTAGAAGAAAGTTTAGACACAGATAATAAAAGCAATTATGAAATAAGGGAATAAATACAATTGGCTAGGTCTTGAGAAAGAAATAACCTACAATCTCCCAAGTACGTATAACGATATTACAGAAGATAAGCACTCAAATGTTATATTCCCACTTCTGACATAAGAAATATATAGCCTTAAGTTTTTTTTAGCATAGATAGTTGCCAAAATGACTGAAATTGGAGGGAAAGCCATTGTAACCAGAGAGATTTTGAAGGAAGAAAGAGTGCCAACAGATTCAAAGGACTCACAGCATAAATCCCAGTACTATTTACAAAATGCCTAAAGGAAAACATTCTTTATCTCAACAGCAAGGACAGCATCTTTCTTCTTTTTCGCACTCTATTTTGGTGGCCTGACTTGTAACTAAACTGTTGATGTCCCTGTTTCCCTTATTTCAAGGTAAGATTTAGAAAAATAAGTGATAATGCAATGGACTGACCTCAGGCCCATATTCTTAACCATCAATTCAACACTGTCTTCAGGTATTATTAAATAGGCATTACTATTACTATTAAGCCAGGAAAGTCATGATATATTTTTCTGTTTATGCAAAAACGCATCATGACTTTCCAGATGACCCAATATTATCCCACTGCATAAAAATATTAAAGGGTGAGGCTTATAGCCTTCCCCTAGCTCCTGCTTGAGAAAAAGCATTTGGGTTATTACCTGCTTGGCTTCTGTTTTTCTGCAGAGAAGAACAAAAAAAAAGACACTTAGGTATATTCTCTTGACTAAGGCAATCAGAAAAGAATTACCACTACATTCCCCATGGGGCTGCATAGGCAGAGAAGTAGGAGCCCAAATGGCAAGG